GATTTCCTTGCTTCGATTTTGAAGAAAGTTGCTTAACCGCAATAATAGTACCGTCTAATAGTTCACCCTGCAATTTGAAATAGAATACATTTGAGAAATGTTGGTCATACATAACACTTTATTAGTGTCATAGACCAAAGTCAAAGAAAAACAGAAGGAGAAGTGCTTGCATATTTAGGGGAAACAAAAAGGAGTTGTAGAATACCTTGTAAACAGCTCCAAAGCCACCTTCCCCAAGCTTGTTTGCAGCATCAAAGTTGTTAGTGGCAGCTTTGATTTGTTTGAATCTAAAGAAACCAGTTTGTAGATCTAATCCTCTCAGATCTGTTCATGTGACAAGAGGTTAGCATATTGAACAGATTTTTCACTGAGAATTTGAGGGCCTTTTGGCTTATTCATTAGACAACATTGGAAAAGAATAACACTGAAAAAACAAGCAACTACAGTAGACATATACTCTAGCAGAGAAGTTATAATTCAAATTGCCAAGTCTTATTTCCTCTTTAGCACAGTATTCACAATACCTTGTTCTCTAGTAGATGCCCTGCCTCCAAAACAGCATCTCAACCAAAGAATGCCAAAAGTCATGAAAATAAGACACAACACTGAGACAACTCCAACCACAATGAATATCTTCATTTTGCTATCATCAGGCAGTTCGAAATCTAGAAGTGAAAGCAGAGCCAAGAACAGTGATGAACAAGATGGAAGTCAAAATAAAGAGAAAACTTACTACTTAAATTACTTACCAGACTCCACTGAGATAGCAGATATAAGAGAACCATATATTCCTCTTTTCGGAGCATTAGTTGTCCCTTTCCCAGCCCAGTGAAAGCGGATCTCTAAAGTCATAACATTGACAACTGCTTTAAATACCTTAATCACTTCCTTATCAACCCCTTGTGCTTCCTTTTGAATATTAAAATCCTTCAATACCAGTTTTTCCTGTAATAATTAGCTATACTTAATCATTCAAGTTAAAACCTAAGAGTGAAAGGGAGTGATTAAGAAAATTGTTAAGAACATTGGAGGAAGGAAGCCTATGTTGATAGGTGGTTGAGTTTTTAGAGAAAATATGGAGAATAGTTCAGTTTATCCAAATGCTAAAAAAATAAAAATTAAGTAACATGGAGAATAGTTATTTATGCTTCATCTCATTTATGGTGAACATAAAATAATGGCTACCTGGATATAAACATCAAAAATTCGTCTTCCAACGCCGTAATAAGACCTGTTGTTTCTGATAACTATTTCTGCAAAGTGTAGTTTCACAGTGTAATTTCCATTTGCTAAGCAACGGCCATAATATGTGAGAGAAAGAGGAGATATTCGGGCTGTTCCATACAATTCAGAGTTAGTCATATTGAGTATGGAGCTATTTCTTGCTATATACTCTTGGTCATAATTCATAAGCCCAAAATCACCAGTGCTACTAAATCCCCAATTCCCTGTGTCATGAAAAAACTTTGCTCCACCTCCTGAAGCTTCATCACCATCATATTTGATGCTTCCAATGGTGGCTTGTTTTCCACCACAATTTATATGCACGGAATACTGCTCTATAGAGAAAAAACAGAAAGGTAGAAGACAAATGGACTCAAAAGAACATTGTATGTGAAAACAGAAACATACACTTGAGATATTCTACGGCAGATTTAGTTACCTTTTGAACATGGATTGAGGCAATGGCTAAGAATCCTACATTGGTATATACAAAAAAACAAAAAACATAATTAGCTTACAAACAATGAATGAGGAAAAATGAATAAACTCCCTGTGGAACTCATTGAGTTTGAAGCTTACGAGTTGTTCTGTCTGGAAAAACTTTTGAACACATTACTGATGAAAACAACAACCTAGTTACTTTCACATATTTAGATAGCCAAAGAGCGCAAAATATGTAAATCTCAGGCAAAGTAAATGAAAAGAAGAAGATATAGAAAAAAAATATTTAATCTTACAAGTTGTCTTGACATGTAGTTGGGACAGAGTTCTCTGAAAAGTTATTGTAGGAAAGATCTATTATGCTGCATGCGAACATAAAGTTCTCTATTAACAGAGATTCCAAGAAAAAAGAATATCAGAATATTTTGGTAAAATTTGTAACATGAATTACTGAATTTGTGCAGAACAGAGAGGAAATTATTCAACATTTCAAAGACAGCAGCAAGACAGAAAATTTTGGACTTAACCACTCATCATCAATACAATATACCCCAGCCTTCTTATAATCATGAACCTTCAGCCAAAAAGTACTTGTATACGTAACCTTATCCATTGTGTAATTCGCCTTATCTTTCGTGTAGCGTTATAATCTGTCTACCAAGTCACTATATTCTTAATCATAGACATTTATCTGTTGAAGCCTCAGAAGCACGGACACAAATTAATGAGGAAAGGTTGCAATAAACATGTAGGTATGCACACTACATGCGTGCTAGTGGAATACATATGATGTGAGTAATCTGAGTAAATGATGGATATAAACAGAACTCTAACCATAATATAAGTAAGATTTAGGAGGAAGAAACATACTAGCGACTATCTCTATATTTGATCCACTCCGGAAGCCCCGTAAGCAAGTTACTTGTCAGATATCTGATCATTGAGCAATATGTTTACATGTGAATAAAAAATTAATTGTATCAATGTTTCTTAAGGTTACACATAAGATACATAATGTATCCTGTTCCTCATTATGTGAGCTATATAGCTACCCATATGAATTTGACTTACATTGTGGCCAATCTCCATATATCCACAAGATTTGGAATGTTCCCCTTCAATCTGTTGAAGCTAAGATCCCTGCAAAAGAAATAGGTTTGGGGGTAATCAGAAGTTATGTACTCATGATGCTGGGAATACGGTACAGAAAAAAGTTTATCAAATGCCACTTCAGTAAATTGAAAAGGCAAATGATAAATACTGATGCCAAATTTTTGTTTTCATCTTCACATAGTAATTAAATTGTAATATAGTAGTAAGGCTTTCTCAAATTTTACATATGGATCTACAACCATTCAAAAAATTTAGCACTTTTAAGCTTTTCACATATATGTAAGCTCAAGCAAAAGTACAGAGAATGAATAAACAGAAGTATTACAGAAGTTTCAGACTAGTCATATTAGAGATATATTCAGGGATTGTTCCTCTTATATTGCAGCTCCTTAACATCCTGCAATTTGAAGCAACCCATATAAGAAAATAAATGTTATTTACTTGTAGGTTATTCTAATCAGAAAGGATACTAAAAGTCTAAAACCATAAAGATGGCTCACAAAGTCTGCATGTCTTTCATATTTGATAAGTTTGGAAAATCTGAACTCTCACCGCTTAAGTCACTAATCGCTCTGCAAAAGATCACCTCAAGATAACTATTAGGAATACAAGTCTCTTCAGCAATGATATCTCAAAAGAGAATGAAAACAATCTGAAACCTAAAATAATTGAGAACTTAGAAGCCAAGACTCACAGGTATGACATTTTAGTTAATGCAGAAAGGCTAGGAGCAATGGGCCCTTCAAGACCACTCCCTTGCATCTCTCTGTAAGCAACACATTTGAAATGGATTTATATTTTAACTGAAGATACTTGAAGATGACAGAGATATAAGATGCATGCTAGAAAAGATCTCTTACAACATCTCGAGCTCTTTCCAACTAAGAAAATTGTTCGGTATTTTCCCAGTGAAGTTGTTACTGCCAATCCAACTGCATATTTTGAACCACCCCACCCAAAAGAAAACAAAAAAAAGGAATGTCATGAACCTGAACTCGAAACATCTTAATTATATAAAATACAGTAAAAATCACTTACAGTGTTTTTAATTTGGTCATATTAGTGAGAGACATAGGCAACTCTCCAGTGAGATTATTAGCGCGAAGGTAGCTGTAGTTAATTACCCATGGCATGTCAAAACTTGTCACTTGTTATGTTCAACTTGGTTATGAAAATCAAAAAATGTCAAACTATGAACTTTGGAAAAAGAAAAATCCCACTAACAGAATCTCCATGTTAATCAACTTCCCCAGCTCCGGAGGAATGGTTCCAGAAAATAAGTTGCTTTCCAAGGCCCTGAAAGATAGTCACTTCAAGTTCACAGCCAAACCAAACCAATTGGTACAAAACTAAATGTAAATGAGATAACAGCAAGTGAGAAAGATTGAAAGCATACAAAGCTTGGAGAGTAACTATGTGTTGTGAATTTGAACCAACTCACTCCCCTTAGACCTTGTTGTTGATGGACTTTGGACAAGACTCAATGATGGATGAATCTTACACACACACACAGAAAATAATCAAGCACTAAAGACACAAGTGTTTATAGAGGTTCAGCAATTTGCCTACATCCTCTTTGGTGATCCCCTTGAGAAATTTCACTAATGAAGATAGGTTACAACTTTGGTTTACAAATGAAAACCCCCTTAGAACACTACCCTCCTTGTAGGCAACTCTCCAGTGAGATTATTAGCGCGAAGGTAGCTGTAGTTAATTACCCATGGCATGTCAAAACTTGTCACTTGTTATGTTCAACTTGGTTATGAAAATCAAAAAATGTCAAACTATGAACTTTGGAAAAAGAAAAATCCCACTAACAGAATCTCCATGTTAATCAACTTCCCCAGCTCCGGAGGAATGGTTCCAGAAAATAAGTTGCTTTCCAAGGCCCTGAAAGATAGTCACTTCAAGTTCACAGCCAAACCAAACCAATTGGTACAAAACTAAATGTAAATGAGATAACAGCAAGTGAGAAAGATTGAAAGCATACAAAGCTTGGAGAGTAACTATGTTTCCCAAATAGCTGGGGATTGGTCCTGATAAGTTGTTCACGCTGAGAACCCTGCACTATGTACACTCCTTTAGTTCAATCATTGGCACGAAAACTACTAATTGGCAACCTCAAACATGAGTGTAGATGCCACTTACAGAAATTCCAACTTCGTAGAAGTCCATTCGCGCGGTATCGAACCACTAAGGTAATTCTGGCCCAGATTACTATGAGCAAAGAAGAAAGAGTGCTATTAATTAGGATAAAAACCAACAGATTTGAGATGGTAAAAGCTAAAGCAGTTATTGAAAAGCTCTGCTCTTCATACAGTTGCTTAATGTAAGGTAGCTTCACCAGTGCTGGTGGAAGCACACCATCAAGTTCCTGCCCCACAAGAAAACTGCACAACAAGGATCCAAAAAATCAAAGGTTGATTCTTGACTAATCACTCCAAACAGTAACCAGCAACCATCATATTTAATTAGGAAAATGAATTTATGAATGAACCAGTGCAGCAAGAATTTAAAGCATACAAATGACAAAAATATATACATACATGCTTTGGACATGGCACACATTGCCAGGGAAGGAGCAATTGCAGAAGAGAGTGTTGTTGTACTGATCCGTGTGTGGGCTTGAGAAAGTTGGAACATTGCTACACGGGTCGCTGAAATTCCAGTCCTTTTTATGCAGTTGTGCAGCTATTTCACGAAGGGCTTCAACTGCCATCACACCCACATAAAGCAAAAATCCCATCAAATGTTCCTTCCATTTTTATTTATTTATTTATTTTTATTTTTTTAAAAAAACCAAAAACTACTTTCAGAAAGCAGCAGCAGCAGCAGCCTACCCTCATCATGTGGAAGAGTCATGTTCTGTGGCTGTGCTCTTGATGATATTGGTCCCATATTGCACATAAGCACTATGAGCGCAATATTAATTTGGCTGAACAAGATCATGTCCACTGGAACATTAAGAATCCTTACCATTTTTCTTCACCACCTACACTTCACATTCCTTGAGCACTATCCAAACCCTTTATAAAATCATCCATGGAGTCTATTAAATTTCTCACTCACTTCCCAACCAAGCGACCCTTTTTTTCAAAGACTTGGTGAATAAACTTTGATTAATTAACCTTTAGTCCATTTAATTAATTATCCAAATTTCAAGGCCCCAACATGCATGTGCTCTTCTCATATAAATTATAATCCAAACTTGACAAGCTAGATTAATCACTTCATAAGAATTATTCATTGATTATATAATTCATTGATCTGCAGACTTCTTTATTCTAAAGGCTTGTAAGAGTCATGTTCTGTGGCTGTGCTCTTGATGATATTGGTCCCATATTGCACATAAGCACTATGAGCGCAATATTAATTTGGCTGAACAAGATCATGTCCACTGGAACATTAAGAATCCTTACCATTTTTCTTCACCACCTACACTTCACATTCCTTGAGCACTATCCAAACCCTTTATAAAATCATCCATGGAGTCTATTAAATTTCTCACTCACTTCCCAACCAAGCGACCCTTTTTTTCAAAGACTTGGTGAATAAACTTTGATTAATTAACCTTTAGTCCATTTAATTAATTATCCAAATTTCAAGGCCCCAACATGCATGTGCTCTTCTCATATAAATTATAATCCAAACTTGACTAGCTAGATTAATCACTTCATAAGAATTATTCATTGATTATATAATTCATTGATCTGCAGACTTCATTATTCTAAAGGCTTGTTGTGATCAACTTGCAATGTGTAAGAAGGATAACCAGTGCTGAATTAGTGCATAGGTTTAGTAAGGTCAAGGTCAACCAATCGTATCATAAACATTGCTCAGAAGATTCATAAAAAATTGTTTAACTATCTAGTTTTTGTTTCTTTTTATTACCAACTGAACAGAGGAAAGCGCCAAAATCAGATTCTCAGCAGGGTCACAATGAAAAAAAATATCGAATTGTGGTTAATTTATTTTGGATTTTGTGATTAAATAAGTAGACGAATACTTTTTTTTTCTTTGGTTCATACACCATGTACACAGAATATTAACCACAATTCTCAAAAGCGTGTGTAGGATTTGGAACTATATATCCATCATCATATAGTAAACAGATCAGTGTTTAAATAAAGCCTAATTTTGACTATCCATGACTAGTCTAGTACTTAAGGCTTTCCGTTGCTTCTGAAGCTCGGTTGGGATTTTCACATCTGTTGCTAGTCCAATAGCCTCAAGCAATCTTATCACATACCAAGTAAAGTCAATTTGCCACCATTTCAGACCTTGCCGAGCCGAGTACTCAAAAGCACGGTGATTATTGTGCCAACCTTCTCCAAGTGCAAGAAATGCCAACCACCTAATTCAAGTTATACAATTGAAATTAAATGCATCTATAACATTTACTATATGTTAGAGCTAGCTAGAGCGAGGATAGCTACAATAACAATTGTCCCTGGACAAATTACCGGTGTTCCATACTTGCTTTCCCCATATGTGGCCAGCAGAATTTACTAACAAGGTGCAGTGGAAACCACACACCACCCTCACGCCATACATTAAATGCATCATCATAAGGTGTACGTCAAACTTCAGGATTTTCTATGAAAGGGAAATGCCATGATCTGTCTGTTTATAGCTTCGCTAGATGCATGCTATATATGCAGTTCCAACAAGAGCATGTGTGTACATGTGGTACATGAAAATTTAAACTGCGTGTAGTAGTCATCAGTCATAATTCATTATATATGAAGGATGTCTTATATGGGGTAATTGTCCAACTTATGGTGTCAAAGTTATGTTTATGTCACCGGACTTAATCTGGAGTGGACAACACATTTAAGAAATATGATCAATGATCCAAATTCATAGGTTTTGCAACGTAAGATTACCATCTAACTTCATATTATTCTTACGTACCATTCCCCAAATAAACAGGGGAAGTCCACCCACGGCATACAGTAAAGCTCCAAGAACAAGTGAATGTAGAAGGTAAGTATAATGAAGAAACATATAGAAGGGCTACTTCTTCAAATCTGCAACATTCTTTAGTCCTCCATACTGCAACAAATATTAATCTAGCTCATTTGAAAGCTGTAAAATAGGGAAGAAAGAGATTTGCCTGAATGATTTTCATTGAATCAGAGAATGTAACTTTATACAAGAGATTTCATATAATTATGCCAACCTTCTCCAAGTGCAACTAAAGTTACCCTCTTGTATTGTACAGTCTCTATTGTCCTAGCTTTTCTTGCAATTGTTGTTTAGTAAAGTCACACTTTAATTTTGGTACCAGTAGCTGCTTTCTGTGGCAGGGCACTCAGAAATATTGAGAGTCAAGACTAACAGCGTAGAAATCCTAGACAGACGAAGAGGTAGAGGCTGTCCATTTTTCATTGGATGAATAAATGAGGCTTTGAGTCTCATCATAGGAGCTGTGATCAACATCAGAGTCCTCTGTGAAGGCCTTAAACCCCAATTCATCACCGTAAATACTCGGGTTTATCTTCACCTCATGAACAATAGTTTGCCCTTCAAGCATGCTCACTACTGCAGACATTGTAGGTCTTAGTGCCGGTGATGGATTAGCGCATAGTAGAGCTACCTTAATCATTCTCATTGCCTCTTCCTTGTTGAACTGAGACCCCAACTTTGGATCCACCAGCTCCATCAAATTTCCTTTTTGTTGCAAAACAAGGGCCTGCAGCATTGACAACAAATGGAGAGGGTACGATATGAAAATATTTCAATAAGAAAAGCAACCCGTTTCCACTTGTACTTCTGCATGCTAAACGAATGTGATGAAGATCTTACCCAATCCAGAAGGCATACAAAATTCTCATTCGGCCGATATTTGATGTTGTTTTTCCCAGATAGGAGTTCCAATGCAACAACCCCAAAACTGTAAACATCTGCTTTATCAGTTAAATAACCCCACAATGCATACTCCGGCGCCATGTATCCTCTGCACAGTAACAACTACTCCATGAGTTTCTCCTTCAAAGCATTCATGTTATCTAAACTAAGAGCTCTGTCATCTGTTCCAAAACTTCATCGTTTGATGAGAGAAACTAAGAGAAGCAAAAGAACAAAACAGAATCCACAATGAATGAAGGAGAAAAAAAATGAAGGGCTGCTCACATAGTGCCAGCAACTCTGGTGCTGATATGGGTCTTCTCCTCTTCGTCCAGCTTAGCCAAACCAAAGTCAGATATCTTAGGGTTAAGGTCCTCGTCAAGCAGTATATTGTTTGTTTTGATGTCTCTATGAACAATTTTCAGTGCTGACTCCTCATGCAGATAAGCCAGACCTCTTGCAATGCCAACACATATTTTCTGCCTTGTACGCCAGTCCAATTTCTTTAGGCCTTCCTCTGGACCTGAATTTAACAAAGATTACTAAGGAGATTCATGAAACTATTTATAATACAAGTGTATATTCCACTTCTAGATTGTCCAGCTTACCAAACAAAGTATGTGCAAGGCTATTGTTGGCCATGTATTCGTATACCAACAATAACTGATTTCCTTCAATGCAACATCCATACAATTTCACAAGATTTGGATGTTGTAAAGCAGAAATCATGCCTATTTCATTCACAAATTCGCGATTTCCTTGCTTTGATTTTGAAGAAAGTTGCTTAACTGCAATAAAAGTGCCATCTAATAATTCGCCCTGCAATTTGAAATATAATACTTCTGAGGAATGTAGGTCATTCATAATACTCTATAAGGGTGAGAGACCAAAGCATTAAAAACAAAAACAAATGAAAAGTTCTTACATAGGGAAACAAAAAGGAGTTGTAGAATACCTTGTAAACAGCTCCAAAGCCACCTTCCCCAAGCTTGTTTGCAGCATCAAAGTTGTTAGTTGCGGCTTTCATTTGTTTGAATCTAAAGAAACCAGTTTGCAGATCGAATCCTCTGAGAACTGTCCATGTCAAAAGGTTAACATAATGAACTATTTATTAACTGAAAATGAGATGGACTTAGTAAAGAACTAGTGGTAGAATAAAAATTGATGTGTATGAAATTGTCTGTACCTTCTTCCCTAGATGTCTTGCCTCCGAAACAGCCTTTCAACCAAAGAATGCCAAAAGTCACAAAAATAAGGCATAACGCCGAAACAACTCCAATCACAATGAATATCTTTGTTTTGCTATCATCAGGACGCTTGAAATCTAGAAGTGAAATAACAACCGAGAACAGTGACCACAGGAGAACTGTATATTTCTACGGTAACATATAATTAGGAAACTTATAACTTACTACTGACCAGACTGCACTGAGATAGCTGATATAAGACACCCATATACTCCACGTTTTGGAACATTGGTCGTCCCTTTCCCAGCCCACTGAAAGCGGATTTCTAAAGTCTTAACACTAACAACTGCTTTAAATACTTTAATCACTTCCTTATCAACCCCTTGTGCTTCCTTTTTAATATCAAAATCCTTCAACACCCGTTTTTCCTGCAATAGATTACATACCCATTCAAGTAGAAAATTGAAAAAGAGGGGGAGTGGTTTTGAAAAATTAGGCAAATATAAGGTCTGAGGAGTTGCGTATTGCTAGTTAAGGTTTGTGAGTGACAAGACATGGAAAACAGTAAAATTTATCCAAATGATTAGGAAGTAGAAGTTACAAAACAATAAGGAGCCAAAAAACACTGCAAGGGACTACCTGTATATAAACATCAAACATTCGTCTTCCAACACCGTAATAAGACCTGTTGTCTCTGAGCACTATTTCTGCAAAGTGTAGTTTCACAGTGTAATTGCCATTTGCTAAGCAACGGGCATAATATGTGAGAGAAAGAGGAGAAAGTCGTGCAGTTCTGTACAACTCAGAGTTGTTCATTCCGAGTACAGAAATATTATTTGCTATATAGTCTTTGTCAGAACTCCAAACATCTGCAAAATCACCAGTGCTACTAAATCCCCAATTCACTGAGCCCTGAAAAAACTTTGCTGCACCTCCTGAGGCTTCATCTGCATCATACTTGATGTTTCCAATGGTGGTTTGATTTCCACCACAGTTTAGATGCAACGAATACTGATCTATAAAGGGATGAGCATAAACAAAGTATAAGAGAAAGAACTTAAACCATTAGCTTTTTATTCTACGACAAATTTAATTACCTTTTGAACATGGAGAGAGGCAATTACTGAGTATCCTACATTACCAAAAGCAGACATTAGCTTCTTAAATTAATGATGAGAAATGAAATGTCTTCTTATAAAATTCATTAAGTTAGAAGCATACGAATTGTTCTGTCTGGAAACACTTCTGAACACATTGCTGATAAAAACAGAAAAGAACTAGTTACGTTCATATATTCAGAAAGTAAAGTATCTCTATCTCAAGGATATTAAGAAAAAGAATAAATAGAAAAACAGTTATGCTTACAAGGTTTCTCGACAATTAGTTGGGACAGAGTTTCCAGAAAACTTATTGTAAGAAAGATCTATATTGCTGCACAAACATGAAGTTCTATATTAATTGGAATTCCAAGAAAACTAATATCAGAATATTTTGATCAAACTTATAAATAAGAAAATTACATAATCTGGAAAAAAGGAAGAGGAAATTATTCAACATTCCAAAGACAGTAAGATAGAAGATTTTTTTACCTAAATAAACAGTCAATAATACCAGATATCATACACGTGACCGGATAAATTTTGTTAGTTTACTACTATTCCCAAAAGTTTAAGCCGTTAGGATGTGGAAAAAATTATTTCATATTTTAACATTTTCCCTCACTAGACCCCAACATGTGGAATTCAACTTAAATTGGGAGGTTGCAAAGCAACTGCAGGGCTTCAAACTCAGGATCTTCTACTTTGATATCACGATAGAGTTTGTTGGTTTACCACTATTCTCAAAAACGTAAGTTGTTAAGACAGGGACAACTATTATTATATGTGTTATCACAGTATTCGTCGACACCTCAGAGCACACTAAAAAGAGGGAAAGTTAGTGCATAAATGTAGGTATGCACATGCATTTTCTGCAAAAGGATTCATGATTCGAGTAAATGGAAAAAAAAACAACGAGAAAATATAATAAGATTTTAGGATGACAAAGCAAAAATATAAGATTTTAGGATGATGAAGCAGAAAATATATGTAAGATTTAGGATGAAGAAACATACTAGCGACTGTCTCTATCTTTTATCCACTCTGGAAGCCCAGTAAGCAAGTTACTTGTCAGATATCTGATCAGTGAGAAAAATAAACAGATGTTAATGAACATTTATCTACATAAATATTGGTTCAAAAGGTTAACACAGAAAGAAGAGAAATCTAAAGTTCTTAGTAGGCCCATCCTTCCTTGGTATGGTTCCTAGGGAGAGTTTGGTTGTATCCTAATCCTAATCGTACTCATATTTCTCTTTATTTTCTTTTTCTTTCTGGTAAATGAAAACACAAAATTAGACTGATTTTCATTTGGTTAGAATGTGCTTTATCCAAAATTAGGCTCCATGTTAGCATCAAGAGGGAAATTTCAAAAGTTGGATCCTGATCCATGTAGAAACCAAGGGTCAATTCCTTACATTGTGGCCAATTGCATAATATCTGCAAGATTTGGAATGCTCCCTTCCAATCTATTGAAGCTAAGATCTCTGCATAAAAATAATCAGAATTCATGGACTGATATGATAGTGGGAACACCGAAGAAAGTTTATTAAATGAATGTTACCAGTCCAGCATACAAAATTAGTAATAATCTAGAGCCCGTACAGTGTAAACCCAACTATTAAGAGCTCCATGCCATGAAAAAAGAATAGAGATATAGAATGAATAGAAAGGAGAATTACAAAACACTGAGACTTGTCATATTAGAGATAAGTTCAGGGATTGCTCCTGTTATATTGCAGCTCCTTAACATCCTGCAATTCGAGCAACCATATAAGAAAAACACTTTTATCTGCAAGTGGATTATGCTAATCAGAAATATACTAAAACCACAAAGATGGCTCACAATTTCTGCATGCCTGTCATGTTTGATAAGTTTGGAAAGTCTGAACTCTCCCCACTTAAGTCACTAATCCTTCTGTAAAAGGTTACGTCATGATAATGCATAAGAAGACAAGTATCTTCATAATATATTTTTTTAATTAAATTCGAAAAGCACATCAAGGAGATAATGTTAATTAAGATAGCTGAAAGCTTAGAAGCCAGGACTCACAGGTCTCTCATATTATTTAAGGCAGAGAGACTAGAAGGAAGGGGCCCTTCAAGACCACTGGCCTGCATCTCTCTGTAAACAACACATTTGAAATGGTTTAGCTTACACCTGAAAATATTTGCAGAAGACAGAGATTTAAAAGGCATGCTATAAAAGATCTCTTACAACATCTGGAGCTCTTTCCAACTTTGAAAGTAGTCAGGTATTCTTCCAGTGAAGTTGTTACTGCCAATCTGTCTGTAAATAATCATACAAAAAGCCAAAAGATTGAATGACATAAACCTGAAGTTTATCCTGGAAAGAACCTAAACTTTTTGAGGTACGGTACAATCACTTACAGTTCTTTCAATTTGGTCAGATTAGTGAGAGCGAGAGGCAACTCTCCAGTGAGATTGTTAGCCCGAAGATAGCTGTAGTTACCCATGGGCAAACAAGACCAAACCATTGTGAATTAATACTTTTAATTGCTAAGGAAAATCCAAGAATGATAACTTATGAACTTATAAAGTTACAAAGGAAGATAAAAAAGCAAACTGACAGCTTCTCCAAGTTAACCAATTTCCCCAACTCTGGGGGAACTGTTCCAGAAAATAAGTTGCTCTCCAAGGCCCTGAAAGCAAAGCCTTGTCAAGTTCATATCCAAACCAAACCAATTGGTGCATCAAATTAATTCTGACTAAACTAAAAGTAGTGTAGGAAAGATTCAAAGCATACAAAGCTCGAAGAGTAGTTATGCTTCCCAAATAGCCAGGGATGGATCCTGATAAGTTGTTCACACTGAGAACCCTGCACTGGGTACATTACATTAGTTCAATTATGGCACAAGAATTTATTGGAAACTTCAAAGACAAGTCTAGAAGTCACCTACAGAAATTCCAACTTCGTAGAAGTCCATTCGTGCGGTATTGAACCACTAAGGTAATTCTGGCCCAAATTACTATGAGCAGAAAGAAAGAGTGCTATTAGGAACTCTGGGATAGAAGCTTAAAAGTTTTGAGGGGGTAAAAACTAAAACAAATTTGTGGAAATATCTTCATACACTTGCTTAAGGTAAGTTAGCTTCACTAGTGCTGGGGGAAGCACACCATCAAGTTCCTGCCCCGTAAGAAACCTGCATGATAAGGATACACATATTATAAGTTATGAATGTTGTGTTAAATTCAACTCAATGTATCCAACTGTTTTGGGTTGGATACTTCAGCAATTGCAGTTGCAGCATTGACCAATAACCATCACAAGGAAAATAATGCAGAAAATATAAAAGTATGACTTGTAAAAGGTGCATACATGCTTTGGATGTGGCATACATTGCCACTGAAGGAGCAATTGCAGACGAGAGTGTTGTTGTACTGATCCGTATGTGGGGTTGAAAAAGTTGGAACATTGCTACACGGGTCGCTGAAATTCCAGTCCTTTTTATTCAGTTGTTCAGCTATTTCACGAAGGGCATCCACTGCCACCACACCCACATAAACAAAAACAAAATCTCAAATCATTTTTTCAAAAACAAGCGCAATGGGTATGATAAAGTTTATTTCTTTTAGGTTTCCAACAGGCATTTAAGGTTTGGCAAATAGTGGAGAAAGGGAAAAAGAAAATATTTCCACTAATTTTTTTCTTTTTCCTATCGAACTGTCGAACAATCAAAACTCTTACAAAACAAAGCGTGTGAACTTAAAATCACAATCAAAAGCACTGAACTTTTGAAGTTTCATGTATAATCTCTGTTTTTCAGATGAATGAAACAATAACTTCACATATATATCACTTCAAAGCTCAAACCAAGAATCAAAGTAAGATCCCTCACCTTCATCATCTGCAAGAGTCCCCACCTGTGCTTGGGATTTGGTGGGTCCAATGCACATAAGCAGAGTGAGCACAACAACATAGCTGAAGAAGAAGATGAGCTTTGAAATATCAGGACTTTTTGCCATTTTTCTCCGGCACCCACTTGACGTTCCACGAGCTCTGCCACCTCTGTCCACAGAGTTCTTATAGTATCAACCTTGAAACGAAATGAAACAATGGATTATTATTAAATTTCTTTTACCTTTCAAACCCACCGTCTGGATTATGTGAAAGAACTTTGATTAGTAAACGTTGGTCTAAATTATGAGCTGTCTGTGACCATTCTCTCCGACAATATCTTTTCAACCTTTTTTATTGTACAGCTTTGGTCGTGGTCAGTTGAAACAGATTCGACCCAAAAAATATATTGCCAAAAACAGCAAGTGGATTGGTACAAATTTGAACAAGACAATTCAATGTATTCATTCGTCATTCACAATCACAACTTTGAATTTTAACATATGCGACGCGAAAGATAGACTTGAGTATATCACATATTAAAATAAAAGAATAATTTAATAAGAGACTATTTTGGAATTTCTGAAGAGAGTTGACAGGTGCTTTGCATTCGCATCCCATTATAAGTTGTTCACACGATAACTCTGCACTGGGTACATACATTACATTAGTTCAATTATTGGCACAATAATTTATTGGAAACTAATTTTCTAGGTTTTTTATTAAAACATTTAATACTAATTATTAACTAAAGAAATAATAATTCTTCTTTCTTGGAAAGGATTGAACTTTGAAAAAAACAAACAAACAAATATTGTGTTTGGACTAAGATTTTTCACCCATAGGCCTAGGAAAAGATGGGCCTTTGAAGATGATAACAACAGAAAAGGTAAGAGAAATATGATCAAGGCCAAAAAGCTAAACTCACACAAATGCTTGGATAAGGATGAGGGACTAAACTTTTTGGAATAGGTAGGGGCTTGCCTCACCTTGGAAACAAATAAAGGGAAACTTGTTTACCTAGTGCTTTGCCCCATTAGGAAGAAGCTAGACCACACCGACCAACCGAAGCGTTATTTGCCTCACAAAGGAACAAACAAAAGCGTTGTTTCACCGAGCAAGATGTTATGGTCGAGGATGAAGTCAGGATGGCATTATTGAAGAAAAAACGTGAATCTTCCAACATAATTTCATCACCACTATTTAAATAATGGGGTTTTATTATTTTTACTTCGACCTATTCAAGATGCAATGTTGCCGGGGGAGGTCTAATCCTGCAAATTTTGCCGGAATAGACCTGTGCCAATGAAATTTTGTCGGGAGAAGTTTTCTTGCTTTTTTTATAATAAAATAAAATTTTAACATATAAAATTAGTTTCTTTAATTTTATTTTTTGGCCAACTTCTTTAATTTAATATATGTAATTAAGTAATATCTTAACCTTTTAAAATTGCTTTAATTGGTAATTATATTTAATTATTCTTTCTTTAGTGAATATTTAAATATTTTACTCATTTCATAAATTACTTAATAAATAGTAATTTTTTTTTTTAATTTTTTGGGGACTTTGTTTTAAATTTTTGTTTTCACAAAATTAGTTTGGGTAAATCCAGGTCTTGAAACAAAAACCCTAGCTTCCGAAATTGTTCCAAAACCTTTCTCAATCCTCGAACCCTAACCATGAGCCTACAAATGAGTAGATACTTTCTCTTCTTTTCCAAAGTGGGACTCAAGTTCATATATTTCAATCAAACTCCAACAAGTAGTTGATATTATCGAATCATGTTGTGACTTGGATTTAAGTTTCGAGGCTAAAATTCATTTTTGGAATACTAAAATATTTGGGTACTAAAACTAAATTTCTAGGATTTTTATTAAAATATTTAATACTAATTATTCACTAAAGAAATAATAATTAAAACATAATCATTAATTAAAGTGTTTAGATAAGGCTAATATATTATTTAATTAATAATAAAAAATTGAAAATGATATTTTAAGAGTATAGCCGCTCGGCTTTACTGTTCTGTTTCAAGAGTATAGCCTAACGGCTGTACGCTTTAAATAGAATTTTAAACGTACAGCCGCGGGCTATAGTATTTAAATGGATTATTTTAAACGTATAGCCGCCTGGCTATAATTTAAATATAATATTTTAAGGGTACCACCGCCCGGCTATGCCCTTTAAATAGCATAATCTTGATTTCTCTCTTTTTATAGTTGTGTTTTAATTGCTATTTACTTAGTGATTAATTAGTATTTAAATATTTGATTAAATAAAAATAATAAAAATAATAATTACCATTTATTGAGTAATATAATTTAAGAAGTTAATTAAAATATTAAATTATTCACTAAAGAAATAATAATTAAAATATAATTACAAATGAAAGTAATAAAATACAAGGGCTTGTGCGTCATTTACTAAGAACTAGGATTGATTTTGTAGAGATCTGAAGAAGTAGCAGTAGCAGAAGAACCAATCCACGTTGCATCCGATGAACGAATGAGGCTCTGAGTTCCAGTTGAGCTCTCTTGTGCAATCTGATCAAACTGGTTTCTCAGAGCTGTTAACCTTATTTCATCACCATAAATACTTGGATCCATAATCAGTTCATGAACAGCAGTCTTCCCTTCAAGCATACTCACTACAGAAGACATAGTAGGCCTAAGGGCTGGTGCAGGATTGGTGCAAAGCAGAGCCACTTTAACCATTCTAATTGCCTCTTCCTTACTGAAATTGGACCCCAACCTTGGATCTACCAGGTCCATTAAATTCCCTTTTTGTTGCAAAACAAGGGCCTGAAAAAACAGAGAAACCAAACTCATATAAGGATGACCAAATTTGAG